ATATACATGCAATTGTTCTCAACACTCACGAACTAACAAACAAACTCCTATTTGTTAAGTGCAGCTTGACAATAATTGCTACTACGAATCATAAAAGAAACGATGGCTTACGCGCTGTTCAAAAAAATATATACCCACCTCAAGTCGCTTGTGCGTAAAGGACTTAAGCAGCATCAATTACAACTGCGACATTTGATATAAAAAAGGTAAAGCTATCCTGTTACGCCTCATGTCGGCGATCAGGGGAGTGGAGGTTTAGCTCCTACTCATTCTCAACCTCGGTACTAGATGAGGGTGAGTGGTCAACATCACACCCTGTCCGCGCTTTATCCTATTTCTCCTTCTTTATCACGCCGTCTCTTTACAGGAGGTTGGCGACACTTTATGAACAGGATCCTTCCATCCTTTTCATATACGTTCTTGGCAGATGATCCCGAAGTGGTTTGCCATTGCCTTCTTCTGTGTGTGAATGGGGTAATTGTTGGGATGCCACGGAGAAACCGGGGAAGCCCCCGGAGGAAAACTCCGTGTTGCCTAGACCACGGCCTTGCCCAACACAAGTTATAAATTCGGGCACCGCCGGGAATCGAACCCGGGACATGTAACATTATTTAAGAGTAAATGTTAATAAAACATATTTATAAGCATCTTAACAACAGTAAAAATTCTGCTGTGGTCAGATTATTTGCATTCCCTTACCCTTTCAGGGCCAAAACCTTTTTATCGTAAATCGGATTTATCTCAGTGCATAAGGGAGGAGGGGTTTATTATTTCCATGAGAAACTTAAGTGGGAAGTATGATGTCCTTTGTCCCTACAGTGGGAAGAATATACTTTTATTATTTACTTTGCTCTCTGATTTTTGTGTCGAACATTTCTAGTACGAATTTAGCAATGACCCGGAATGTAAAATAAAGCTGTAACCACGAAGTGCACAGATTGTTTAAGCGTTTTCCTATCCACGGAGTTCTGAAACACCCGAGTTGCGAATTATGCTACTAGTTTTCAGCCTCCTCCTTGTCAGCGCAGTTTATGTGTTTTTGTTGGTCTGAGGCTGCATTAACTGAGATGTTTATTTCTTTTCGAAACATCGATTCCCGATTTTCAACCCTTACCCCCTCACTCATCGCTCGTTGTTCTCCTTTTGTTTAAATTCACAGACTCACAAGCAAAGTCCCGGATGATCTATGCCTACTGCCCTAAATATTTACGTGTGTTTTAAACTGTGCTATAAAGTTTTACCTTCATTCAGAAAATAATGTATAAATCTTCAATTTAAACTACAAGAAGTAAAAGGTGTGGTTGGCTTTGTGCTTAATTAAACACCACGTCATGACGGCGTGGAGGTGAGTGTTTATCTTCACACCCCGGTCACTATACCCCCAAGTAAAGAACCCCTTGTTCCTATTTAATAGTATGATAAGTGGACCCCAGAGGCTGTCTGGAGATGGTAACGAAAGTAAGAATTTCTGTTTCTATCAGTAGAGGAACTCCGCTCGTTGAATTAGTAGCGTAGTCTTAGTCGCTTTAGTGACAGCCTCTGCAGCAACTGATGACTAAATCTGCTCTCTCTCTCTCTCTTTCTCTCCCTCTCTCTCTCTCTACCTACATGGGCCCTATATATATGGTCTTAAAAGGCTTGTATATAATTGTATTACCGAATGTCCCGTTGGCGCGGTTAGTTTCCCAGGTTCAAACCTCGGCCCGGAGACCGGCTATCTTTAATTAGGCTTTTCGTTGTTTTCTCAGTCCCTCCTCGAAACTGCCGGGATAGTACCTAAAATTAGGCCAATACTCCCCCCTCCCATTTCCTTTCCAATTCATTGTTTACTAATCATCTGATCATTCTACGCTAATTGAAAGTCCCGTTAAATAAAACAAAAATAAATAAATAAAAATAAATGGACAGTTCCATGTTTTGTGACGCATAGGCTTATTTTGCAGAGCCTCAAATTCTGTTACCGGTGATAATATCAGACAATACGTACCAGTGTTGACGAAATTGGGAAATAAATCGTGGGCTTGCTTAGCTAATTCTGGTCGCTTTTGATAGCTGAAAGACGACATAATGATGATGACATTAGGAGTTTGCAACATTGGACTAAATTTCTGTCAGCATATTTATTACATTTCCTGTGCTTTGATCTGTTGTATAAAGTTTTTATATCGTATTCTGAAATTGTTGTTTTAGTTATACGCCTGATTTAAAGTGCAGTGTCTTATTAATTTAAGTTATTTTGTGTGTTTAGTTTCGTATTCTTTTGTGGAAACCACAGGCGTGGAACGATCACGTTAAATTTGCATTACTGATGTATTAAAGAATTAATTTTATTCCTCTGGTTTTGACACAGTCGGACAAAATGAATGTAACAACACATTGGCTGGAGTTTCGACAGTAAACCGTAACGTTTATCTTCCCCGTCCTTAAAATGTACGTTGATTTGTGCACACCATTACACTTCATGTAGTCCCATTTTGCTGTAAGTTATTAGCCACAATAATTAGTTACTAGGACACAATGTGTAGGCGCTTGTCTCGAGTTACAAGGAAGATGGACATTTTAAACCGCATTGCATGTGTTTCCAACGATTAATCCCTGCCCCTCGTACTTTCAGCAGACAGAGCGACAATAGGAGAAGCAGTCACTTTATTCATAATTACAGGACGTACGAATATTTTAATATAACTAAAACACAACGGAGCAGAGCCCTTCTTGAGAATCTGATAGTTTCTCAGCTAATCAAGATATTTATCGGCTTTTATGGAACCCAAACGTTCATTACCGTGTTCACAATAGCCCACAGCGGTCCTCGTCCTGAGCCAGATTAATTTTGTCCACACCCTATTGCTCTAAGATCTATCTTAATATTATTTTCCCATCTGTGTAGATCTTCCAAGAAGGTCTCTTTCCTTGAGGCTTTCGAATCAAAATTTTGTAATCAGTTGTCATCTCTCTCATGTGTGCTAAATACCACGATTTTTCACCGTCTTAAATTTTTGTCTTAATAATTGGTGGATAATTACTCTGAATTGGAAAGAATAGTTCTTCAAGGGCATTGTACATTGTCATCATAACAATTATGAAAAAACTTATAAATATGTGCATTTGCTAGACTAGCTTGAATTTTGCCTCACCTGTTTCCCCAGGCTGTACATTCAAATTGCTAATTATAAGCAAGTTTGCAGGGTTTTTTTTTACATAAATACACCTTGCTTTTATATATGTTGTATTTTCTGATTCACGATTCTGTTGCTAAACAAACTTAACTTGCAAATAGAGTTAACTCTTGTTTTCTGCTTCTCCTTTTCGGTGATTCCACAAAATCATTCATTCTTGCAGTACACAACTTCCAGCTTGAAGATGTTTTTATTAATTCTGAGGAACTAGGAGATTGAATTGTTAGTGAGTGACAGGTTATTTCATTCTTTACAGATGATTGACGTCAAATCTGGGGCTAACTACAACAGCGGCTTCCCCGTGCTTGGTAACGCCACCGTGTTCATCTGTCCACCTCCTCGTCCCGACCCTTACTCGTCACAGGACCTCTACAACCCGGTGTATGAAGAACTATCCAACGGTGAGTGAGAGTTCTGAATCACTTGTGATGTAGACGATACTGCAACTTTCAAAGAAGCCAAGTAATGACTAGTTGCAAGAGAAACTAAACCTTTTTCTATCATGATAGAGCTTTTAGGATTATTCGTCAACCCTGTCCGTTTTAAATAATTAGGCAATTGCTAGACACGTTTTAAGAAACTGTATAGTGTTGCCAACAGCGAAAATTATCATGTAATAGCCGTTGACAGTTATCATATTCTGATAACATTCATTATAGTTGTCCAGACTTAAATTTGTAAAGCAACCTCAAGCGAGTCATTCCTTCCCCGCATACACTGTCGTTTATTGCATTTTGTTTTCACTGTGTATATGGTACCAAAAACGGCCACAGGGAGTTTATTTGTGACGATCAGGGTCGGGAGATCGAGGCGAGTCTGAACCAGACAGCGAGGGTGCAGTCCCCGCCCCTGCAAGTGAAGACGAGTTCGCGGAAGACGAGCTGAGCCTAGGCGGGGAGTGCGAAGGCAGTTCTCAGCCGCCTTACCCGCAACGCTTCTCCGAAGACATGGAGAGGAGCGGTCACCTCAACTCCGGCACCAGTTCTCTCCAAGGCTCGACCGGCAACGACCTCTGCCGTGATCTTGACTCGTCTGACGCTGACGACCGCAGCAGGTTCCTCATGAACACTACTCTCCCAGGGCTCGGGCTGGGACCGGGAGGCAGGAACTTCAGCCTTCCTCCGGGATATCGAAACCGAACTTCTCGCGGGCCGCAGCCTCATCAGCACCGTGGTCAGCACGGAGCACCCGAACAGCGGCGCCCCAGGAGTCTGGACCGGCGCCGGGGATGGCGCAATAAGAGCCAACCGCAACAAATATCACCTCAGTCGCCGGCCCGGCACCAAGATTGCGGCGAGTTTCACGAGGGCATCTTACTGGATGCTTTGTTGCAGCTATACCCCAACGTGATGACGAGTGGTGGCGGTGGCACACCCAGATCAGGGCGCAGTGGTAGCAACATCGCCCCCCACCACCACCCCCTGGCCGTTCCCAGCGTGGCGCACAGGCTACCTTACATCCTACAACCCCAAGTCCCACCCCCGCCTCATCGTAATCACGTGGTCAACCCGTACGAGTCTGTGCCGGTCCTTAATCATCTCCACCAGCATCACCACGGCTCTGGGTACAGTCCACGGCAGCCGCAAGAGCTGTTCTCCACGTTTCGGCGTGGCAAGGCTCATAGCCAGGACTCTTCTTTCGGCTCCGATTCGGGCTATAGCAATAACACAACATCCAGAGGACGAAGCTCAAAAGATGCGCACAGACTTTCTGCGCATAGCGGAGACCTTGCGCTGTCATAGTAGTGCGCGTACTCTACATAGTTCTTTATAGTAACGCGCATGTAGAAGACAGCTGTGCCTGTGTAAGGAGCACTCCCGTAGTATACGCATGGGTCAGTGTTACGTATCACAGAAGATTCTACGTATTATTTCTAGGAACAGCAGCACCGACCTTGAAACTCCCGGTAGACATTGATATGTGTGTGATCTTGTGTGCGTGAAACTGTGGGGTTTTAGATCCGTAGAGGCATCCACCTGTCCTGATATAGTCAAAATATGTGCAATGACATCACACGCACAGTATGTTCACAAAAAACTATGTTGCCTTTCATCTTTTGTATGGCATCTGTCTTTGTTGTTGTTTTACGCCATTTTAGTTGAAATAGTTGTGAATCTGAAAGAGACGAGAATTATCTCTTTATCTTAAGACAGTTATTCCAATATATAGTCCATTTCTAAATAATTCTTCCATAATTTAAGAATGATAATTTAAAGGGACAGGTTGGTAACCCTGATTTGTCGAAGTGTTTATATTGAGACTGAAATAACAAACATTTCTGGCTATACGTATATATCCATCAGTAGGTATATCAGTGACATTATTTATTACTGAGACTTGATTTTTGAGGTATGTGTGTCCTTTAGACAAGAAATTCGATAAATAAACTTTATGTACATATTATTCTCGTACGCTCTTATACATATATTATCATTAATCAAATAATTGTGATCTCTCGCCCTATTACCCTGTGTGCATCAGGATGGTACCCATTTGCAAAGTAGAAAATGCAACTTGAAGAAATCTTGCAGAAATATAACATAGAAGTTTGAGTAAAAATATTAAACCTCTAACATGTCCGATGTTTAAAACCAAATACAAGCAGGGTTTATTCTCAGTAGTGATTTTTCTATAGAAGTTGAAACGAAAACTTCTCGCTTTTCAATCCTGTGATCTGTGGCTTGATTCCAGTACATTTCTATGACTTAAAGAAAAACATAATAATAATAAAAATAATAATAATACCAACAATAATATTGTGAAACGATAATATACATCTCTCAGAACTTAGCAATACACCCCTTACCTATTAAGTAGGCAGTTCTGTTGGCATATATTATATAAGTCTATAAGAAAATTCATAGAGAGTAATAGGTTTTGTGAATTGGTAGACCCTATTACATAATTACATTTGTTTAATTTAACAGTATGTTCACCATTGATGAAATTAAATGGATTTTAACTCACATAATAAGTAGCAGTAATTTCGAAAATGAACCACAGCTAAAACAGTAAATGTATATACAGTGATCCTGCCGTACCATAAAATGTAATTAGGGGAACCCTGTCATTAAATGTGACCAAATGTTTGTGCCTCACCCGGCCTTGCTTAACACACTCTCTGCTGAATACGATCTGTGACTAACGCGATCTCTGCTTGCCTCGTTCTGTGCCTCACTCTGTCGAACCAGGTCTCTGCAGAGACGGCCTGTCAGAGAACGGGTCAAACCAAGTAACATTCGTGCAGAGACCGAGACCTGCAGATAGGGTGCGGCAGAGACCTGATCATGCTGATAACGGTTCTGGCAGGGATCGGGTGGGGAGAATTTTGAAAAAATTCTAAATTTTCGAAAAATCACAAAATGAAAACTGTCCAAAACGCGCACAAAACTAAGTAATTTTGAAAATTTTGGACTTCATAATTTTTTCGAATTTTTTTTAGTAATTTTCGCCTTTCATGACATTTTAGCGGTTTTTAAATTTTTAAATTTTTTTTCAAAATTTTGAAACTTTTGAAAGGGTACATCGACTAAAATCGATATATCAAAGATATAGGAAAATGTCCAAAAAGCCCACAAAACTAAAAAAAATTCCGTCTTCAAATTTTTTTACGAATTTGTAGAAATTTTTTGATTTTGTGCTCTTTTCAGACAATATGCAGCATTTTCTAATTTTTAGAAAATTTTCAAATATTCGATAAAAATTTTAGTTTTACCTACCCCATCCCCATCAGAACTGGTCTCTGCCGGACACGATTACTGCCACACTCTTTGTGCCTCACCCAGTTTCAGCCAGATACGGACTTTGCCTCACCCGGCTCTGATTCACACAGTCTTTGCTTCACCCGGTCTCTCCTTGACCCTGTCTGGGCCACACACTGTCTCTGCTTGACTCGATCTGTGCCTCACCCGGCCTTGCTCAACACAGTCTCTGCTGAATAAGATCTGTGACTAGCACGGTATGTGCTTCACCCGGTCTCTGCCTTACACGGTCTCTGCTTGTTTCGTTCTGTTCCTCACTCGTGCTTGCTTATCACAGTCCCTGCCTGTATCGGTCTCTGCTGAATACGATCTGTGACTAGCACGGTCTCTGCTTGAGACTGTCTGTGCCACACATTGTCTCTGTTTGTCGCAGTCTGTGCTTCACCCGGTCTCTGCTTGACTCGTTCTGTGCCTCACGCAGCCTTGCTTAACACCGTCCCTGCCTGTATAGGTCTCTGCTGAATAAGATCTGTGACTAGCACGGTCACTACTTGTGACTGTCTGTGCCACACAGGGTCTCTGTCGCGGTATGTGCTACACCCGGGTCTCTGCTTGACTCGGACTCTGCGTCACACGGTCTCTGCTTTACTCGTTCTGTGCATCATACGGCCTTGCTTAACACAGTCTCTGCCAGACTCTGTCTCTGCCTGTATCACTCTGCTCTATACGATCTTTACCTCACACGGTCTCTGCTTCAATCGGTCTCTGCCTCACACGGCCTCTGCCTTACACGGTCTCTGCTTAACTCGTTCTGTGCCTGACCCAGGCTTGCTTAACACAGTCCCTGCCTGTATCGGTCTCTGCTGAATACGATCTGTGATCAACACCATCTCTGCTTGACATGGTCTGTGCCACACAGGGTCTCTGCTTGACGCGGTCTGTGCGTCACCCGGTCTCTGTTTGACTCGATCTCTGCCTCGCACGGTCTCTCCTTGAGTCGTTCTGTGCCTCGCTGTCTGTCGAACCAGGTCTTTACAGAGACGGCCTGTCAGAGAACGGGTCCTTCAGAGACAGGGTGCGGCAGAGACCAGATCTTGCAGATAACGGTTCTGGCGGGGATCGGGTGGGGGAAAATTTTAAAAAAGTTTTGTAATTTTTCAAAATTCAAAGTTCAATTTTTTTCGCAAATTTCGAAAATAGTTATTTTCGCTTTCCATGACAGTTGTAGCCGTTTTTAAATTTTTTAAAAAATTTCAAAATTTTGAAAGGGGTACCGTCGACTAAAATTTCAATTTGTTCAAAATTTCCGAATTTTTTTTTTTTTGAAATTATCCAAAGGGCGTAGAAAACTAAAAGAATTTTATGAATTACTACTTCAAAAACTTTTACGAATCGGTTGAATTTTATTTTGTTTTTTGCGCTATCAACACAATTTGCAGGATTTTCCGATTTTTCCAAAAATTTTAAAATTTCTAAATATTTTCTCTTTCACCTACAATTTCCCTAACAGAACTTATCTCTTCCTAACCCGATACCTTCCACACTGTGACTAACCCAGTTTCAGCCGGACTAGGACGGTGCCTCACCCGTCACTGACACGGTATGTGTTTCACCCGGTCTCTGCTTGATCCCGTCTGTGCCACACAGGTTCACTGCTTGACGCGGTCTGTCCTTCACCCGTTCTCTGCTTGACTCGTTCTGTGCCTCACTGTCTGTCGAACCAGGTCTTTGCAGAGCCGGCCTGTCAGAGAACGGGTCCTTCAGAGAAGGTGCGGCAGAGACCGGATCATGCAGATAACGGTTCTTGCAGGGATCGAGTGGGTAAAATTTTACAAATTTTTTCCAATATCTCTAAATTTTCGAAAATTCATAAAATGAAAGAACATGTCCAAAACGCACAAAAACTAAGAAATTTTTAAAAATTTGAAAGGGGTACCATCGACAAAAATTTGAAATTTTTTCAAAATTTTCGGAAAATCGAAAAATGCAGGAAAATGTCCAAAACGAGCATAAAAGTAATAAAACTTGAAAAATTCTGGTTCCAAAATGTTTTCGAAATTTTTCGAAAATTTATTGTTTTGTGCGCCGTTCAGACGTTTTGCAGCACTTTTTCATTTCTCGAAAATTTCGAAAAATTCCTAAATTTCTTTGAACATTTTTGTCACCCGATACCTATCATATCTCTTTCCCATCAGACACGGTCTCCGCAACAAATGCTCTCTGCTAGACTGTCTGACGATATCGATCTGTACCACACGCGCCTCTGCTTGACACTCAGCTTCACCAGTTGCCTGCTTGACCCGTTCTGTGCCTCACAGGATCTATGCTTCACTCGGACAGTGCTTCACAGTGGCTGGGAGCGTCAGAGATGAGTGCAAAAGAGACAGGGCCATGCAAACACCGGATCTTGCAGTGTTGGCGTAGGGAGAAAAATTCCCGTTTCCAAATTTTCTCCGAAAATTTGAAAAATTTTCAGTTATTTTCGCGTTTCATGACATTTATAGTCATTTCTAAATTTTTGAACATTTTCGAAATTTTTAAAATTTTCATCGATAAAAATTTGAAAAATTTTCGAAAAATCGAAAAATGCTGGGAAATGTCCAAAACGCGTATTAAAGCAAGAAAATTTGAAAAATTCCGATTCCAAAATATTTTCTAAATTTTTCGAAAATTTGTTTTGTGCGCCGTTCAGACGTTTTGCAGCACTTTTTCATTTCTCGAAAATTTCCAAAAATTCTTAAATTTCTTTGAAAATTTTTGCCACCCGATACCTATCATATCTATTCCCCATCAGACACGGTCTCTGCAACAAATGCTCTCTTAACCCGTTGACGATATCGATCTGTACCACACGCGCCTCTGCTTGACACTCAGCTTCACCAGTTGCCTGCTTGACCCGTTCTGTGCCTCACAGGATCTATGCTTCACTCGGACAGTTCTTCACACCGTCACTGCTTGTCTCGCTCTCTGCCTCTGCTTGAGTGGAACAGTTCTTCACCCGGTCTCCGAATCAGGCTGTTCCTGTTGGACTCGGTCTGTGCCTCACACGGTCCCTGTCGTAATAAGTCAATGCACAGCCTGCCTCGCAGAGAACGGTACGTGCATCGAAGAAGTGGCTGGGAGCGTCAGAGACTGGGTGCAAATGACACAGGGCCATGGAAACACCAGATCTTACAGTGTTGTCGTAGGGAGAAGAATTCCCGTTTGAAAATTTTCTCCGAAAATTTGAAAAATTTTCAGTTAGTTTCCCGTTTCATGACATTTATAGTCATTCCTAAATTATTTAAAACTTTCGAAATTTTAGAAATTTTCATCGACAAAAATTTGAAAATTTTCGAAAAATCGAAAAATGCAGTAAAATGTTCAAGACGCCGTTTAAAAGCAAGAAAATTTGAAATTTTTCGATTACAAATTTTTTTCGAAATTTTTCGAAAATTTATTTTTTTGTGCGCAGTTCAGATGTTTTGCAGCACTTCTTCATTTTTTGAAAATTTCGAAACATTCTTAAATTTCTTTGAAAATTTTTGCCACCCGATACCTAACATATCTCTTCCCCATCAGACACGGTCTCAGCACAAATGCTCTCTGCTAGACTCTCTACTTAACCTCTTGCATGTCCCAAGACTTTAGAAATCACTTGTCCCAAGTCTTGAGAAATCCCTTGTCCCAAGGCTTGAGAAGTCACTTGACCTAAGACTTGAGAAGTCGCATGTCCCAAGTCTTGAGAAGTTACTTGTACCAAGCCTTGAGAAGTCACTTGTCCCAAGTCGTGAGAAGTCACTTGTCCCAAGTCTTGCGAAGTCACTTGTCCCAAGTCTTGAGAAGTCACTTGCCCCAAGTCGTGAAAAGTCAATTGTCCCAAGACTTGAGAAGTGCTTGTCCCAAGTCTTGAGAAGTCACCTGTTCCAAGTCTTGAGAAGTCACTTGTCCCAAGTCTTGAGAAGTCACTTGTCCCAAGTCTTCGTTGACAGCCTCACCAGCTCTCTGCCTTACTCAGTCTCTTCCTCACTAAGTCTCTGTCGGACGCTTTCTATGCAGCATTTTTTGATTTTTCGAAAATTTTGAAAAATTCCTAAATTTTTGTGAAAATTTTCGCCACCCGATACCTATCATATGTTTTCCCTATCACACATGGCATCTGCAAGAAATGCTCTCTGCTAGACTGTCTCTGACTTAACCCGTCTGCCGATATCGATCAGTACCACACGCGCCTCTGCTTGACACTCAGCTTCACCAGTTGCCTGCTTGACCCGTTCTGTGCCTCACA